TACATAACCAATTTGGCCCTTTACAAGATACATTAACGTAACGTATAGATTGGATCAATTCGACGATGCTTTGGCTTCGTGATACTTTGATCCCAGCGAGATACCCGATAACAGACAGCCGCAGTGTGCAGGGACTGTTATTGTCGCCTAGCGTCGTCGTGAATTGAACGGAATTGAACTTTGATTAGGGCCGTAGATCCGGTTGCGAGCCCGAATCCTGATGGTATCGGTCGACCTTGCGTCCGTATCCCAAGGGGGTCGCTACCGTTGCCAACGTGGTGCCAAATTGGGAAACTTTTCTTATATTTCAAATATTGTTTCTGGTCGATATAAATCCGATTCTTTGGACCCTTCGGTGAAGGCGGGCAACTCGCCGTGGAGGCGAAAATTTAATTTCGACTTTGACACAAGGCATACTATAACTGATCACAATGGTGGTTCCAGGAAGGTTTGAATATGGTTCTACTTTGTATTATAATTGCACACCAAATAGCCCGGGAACGTCGTCTCGAACTTCGGAATATCTAGTTGCACCTGAAACTTACGGCACACATCAAGCAAACCATGGCAAGTCGTCTAAAGTGCCGTAATAATTATCGCGCGAGGCGGAACTGTCGCCCGCTCCGCGAAATTGAACAATTTCACTAAAGCCTTGATCTTCGGATAGTTTAATTGTAATTATTCAAAGTTCACAAAATCTGATTACACGCCGTCTCTGAGGCCAAGAGCTCGTCCGCGGCGCAAATTACACCTGAAACTGCCGGAAGGGGTGCGGGGTGCGACGTCGTCCTCGTCCCTACCGGAAGTTGAAGAGCGGGAGGTTGAGGGAGCAGGCGGGAGAGTGGTTTTGTGAAGGGCCACTTTGTTGCAACCGGTATTACCTGGCCGTTTTCGTTTCCCCGCCACCAGGCGGCGCGCTGCGAAGTTATTAATGCGAGCCTGGGAGGGTCCTTATTGAATCCCTTTTGATTCGACGTCAAGTAGGGGAAACACAATGTGATTAAAACGTACAACGTCGCTTTGGCTCTTTGCGCGATACCGACGACAATTTATTCTTGCTCGTCGGTTTTGTTTACATCATATCGTCTTAGAACACAAATTAAAACGTCTTATACCACAAGAGCATTTATTATTTTAAGATTACGACATTAATTAGGATTGTAATATAATTGTATTTACTCAAAGTTTATAAATGGGATCCCATAAGTGATTCAATCAAATCAAAGTCTCCATCGTAGAGAGTTCGTAGTAAATGATCAGCGAATCGGTTCGGGTGGAACACGACCATGCGATCGGTGAAAAGTGAGAAGAATGACCGTGTAATTCCGGAGAAAAATATACTTTCCCTTTTCACATCACTCTTTTTTCTACAAACTATTTCAGGAAAACACGTTTTTTTTTTGCAACACCTTCACCAAAATTTAATATCTCAACCGTTCGGGAAAATCACGTACTGAAATAATTTGTAACGTAAACGACAACGCTTCCGTATTCAGAACGGCTCCCTCTCGATTTCCCATAGTCGTTTTGGCGCCTCCTGAATAATATAGTCGTGTATTTTGAGCGTTATTTCCAACTGGGGATCCACACTATGATATTTAGCATATTTTCCGATATTTCCTGGTGATCCACACGTAGTTTTAGGGGCTGTTTGATTTTACGATCTCTTTTTGTCCTGATATGGTATTCAAACCTTAACCAATTCCCTTTTAGGGTTATTTCTATTCCCTTTAGAACAAACAAAACGAAATGTTAGTACAATATTATATTATCGATAACTATTACTCTAAAATTAATTAATATGAAAATTAATGTGGTCTTAGTGGATTTCTCGTAGTGGATATTGACCGAAATGCACTAGCATATAAATTAACCCTCCCGATATGGGATTTCGATCAAACCCCATGTAAATTTACTGCAGTGTGACGCAGGCTTTCCGCTCCGGAATCACACCTGCCCGTAAAGGTCAGCAATCCTAGCACCCCCTTTCAACCCTGCGCCAATACCCATTAAACACTATCTAATATACATGGCTTTATTATCAAATTGTTTCGACATACATTTTGTTAGATATTACTGTTATGTTTGCATCTGTTAATGTGTTTATCGAAAGTCATAGAACGAGCTTTTACTGAAAAAAACTTAAAACTCATTTAGTTATTTCGTAGAGGGGTGAGCTTATGGAATTACTGTCATCGCTCTTTGTGCCCGAAGAACAATAACTATTATTCACGTGCCATCCAGTGAGGAAACATTTCGCGTTGTCTAACTGCAGCGAATCACGCTACATGGGTGCTGCCCTACGTCTGTTCTATTCTACGACCTCGCCAGGAAATTCGTAATACTTTTTTATCATTTTACTTTCTACTATACTGTGTATCCTTTTGTTAATGCCTTTGTGAACAAAAACTAAGTTATGGTAGTCTAAGACTTTATTTCAACTTATTAAAACTTGTTTAAAATAAGTACATTAAATAATTGTCCATTTCCTCTTGAAGTTTATGAAATTTAAAGCTTTGAACTTTATTACACCATCAAGTATCTTCTTTATCCCTTTATCTTCACGACTCCAGTTTTATTTTAATTGTCCGAATTGAACCATTCTCGGGCGATGTTTTATGCGATAACCCCTCGTTTAGATGGCGTAGATGCTATCACGCACCAGGAGTCGTTCAATTGCCTGCGGCACAGCGGGGAAAGACGAGCTTAACGGCGGCAACTTGAAACCCGCAATCCCAAGTTGGAGGTGAAAAAGTTATCGTTCCAGCCCCGGAGGAAATTAACGCTATTAAAGTAATAAAGTCTGATATTTTTCGGTGATTTACTTCGATGCGCCTCGGGGCGGTTGCCGAATAAAGTAGCTAAAAGACATGCGATGACGAAAATGAGGCAAATCTCAATTCTTAGTTTTTCATTAAAGTGTACCATTAAAGATTATGATAAAATGTTAATTTCAAAGTGTAACAAACCAGAACGAGGATTCGTAATTACAAGGAAGATACCAAAAAGGGAACGCGCCAACCTTATTTCCGTCCACGAAATTCTCTACAACGTTAGGCTAACTAAATTAGGTAAAATGAGTATTTTTTTAATACCTTCTCCGGATTACCTCAATTTTTAAACCGGGCCAGAGAGACCTCAAGTAATTTCGCTGGTACCCCAAGAACGCTGATTAGGTTTCCTCTTTACCTAATTACAACTTTATTCTAGTGTGGAAATCTTCACGAAGAAGATACGATTATACATGAGATTTGGACGATGTTAAATAATGGGGGAGATAATTTCGCTCGGTACCTTAATACGTTAAATCTGCAGATATCGTATTCAACGCGAAACATGATTCAATTGCACCAGAATAGGTAGAACACAGTCCGAGGCGACACAATGTTAATCAAATACATTAATTACAACACTGAACACATCATACTCCTAACCTATGCGAACAAGCTTCATGAAACTCTGAGTTGAACTATGTGAATATACAGCAATGGGGTATTGCTCCTATATAATATTAAATATTAATTACTACAGTGCACAGGGTATTATATAACATGGTTTATCCTCTGTTGACTTCCAATATTATGCTAGATGATTTTTATTACAAGTGGAGAGTTATACTTATTTTATTTTATGCTATAGTCATTTAAATTTTGTAAAAAAGAAAATAAAATTCCTTTAATTTTAATTGAAAGTTGTCCTTTATTTGTTGGTTAGGGGAAATTTCTCCCGGGAGCCTATTAAGTTTCCTTATGATTAAAAGGACCGTAGAGCCCCCAACGTGGCTTCGTCCTAGGCCATTCGTTTCAATTTAGGGCGATCACAATATAAATGTCAGTTATACTAGCAGCCCCTGAGAAAGGTCTTTCAACTAGGACGAGAAAGGACGAGACCAAGTTTCCATTAAACGCCAACAGTTTCGTATTAAACGTTACCTCACTTTTTACTTTAAAGGGGAGAAATTAATAAAAACAAAATGTCACTTGAAAATATTCAGAGATTATTACGGCAAACGATAACGTGTTTCGCTATGAAAATGTCAATACCCGTTGAGGTGAAAAGCCATCGACGATGGACATGGCCATGTCGTTATTAGATTTTAAACCGCTTGGTGTTTTGTTTCGATCCCGAGCGAGAGTTTACTTTAGATAAGTGTGTTTTCCTGCGGAAGCAGCAAACGCCCATCTAGCTGCGGGCGTAAATACGTTATGAACTGTTGCTGTAATAAAATCAAATGTGTTTGCAGGGGACATAAATCTACTACGGGTTACGGGTTCTCGTGAAATAACACCGTTTGCATTCCCTACGTCTTGTACATTTAGATAATTGTGGGGACGTTTGGTCCCACCTGGGTTGATGTACCACTCGGTATTTTCAGACCCGCGCAATTACAAATATGGACACGAGGGAGATTGGTTAATGCGACGAAAAAGCTTGCTAATTTATTTAAAAGCTAGGCGCGTTATAGTTTGTATAAAAACACAAAGAAAAATAAATAAATTTAAAAAACAGAAATGAGTTTTAGCGGTATCTGCACAGTCGTAGCCAGAACAAATTTGTCGCATTATATTTCGTAAAACAAACGGTCGCAATTTCGAATTTGTACTATTTTTTATGGGTGGGTCGCGGTGGTAAATCGTTTTTAAATTTACGTTTCGCTACAGTTCGCTCTGTAATACCCCGACCATTTTATTTAATTTCATACATATTGTAACGTAAAATTGAATGCCAGTGCGTATTGTTGCGTTATTTTTCGTCTCGTTTATCGCCCAACCCGTAAATCTGCCCCTCGTCATTTTTTTTTAAACTGTGTAAATTGTTTTTGCTTGCTCACCGAGATAAATTACCGTAACGTAGATAGTTCCCCAAAATCCCAACCATAATCAACCTAGTTAATCCGACAAGAACCCCAAGTGCTTTAATCAAGCAGTATCTGTCCCGTCCCATACGCGTGTATTCGTCTTTGCGCTTGTTGCAATTCAAAACGGGGTTTCTATTTCCAGGGCCAGCTTTCTGGGGCTTGATAAACCCGGAGTGGTCACTGTGCAACAAGGGTCGCAGACAGTCCCCCGTTAATCTGGAGCCAAATAAGCTGCTCTTTGACCCCAATCTCAGGCCTCTGCACGTCGACAAACACCGGGTAAGTAGCTTAACGTCCGTCCTACGGGTTCCATACCCTTCTCCCTCCTAAAGACGCTACTACCAACAGAAAGCGAAGGAGCTCATATCATCGGCATCCACGACTTGTGTACACGCATCTCGTATAGATGTTGCCAAGATCTGAGACATTTGAATCCGATAATCCCGCATTGCATTGCCGAGATGTTACATAGCCTCTCACCTGATTCTCCAACTGTTTGTACTTGCGAAGGAGCGGAGTAAATACCGAAATGTACCGGTGTGTGGTTGCAACGCGTTTGTTTAGCATTGTAAATACTAACCGAAATTGTGCGGTTTATTCGTGGTAACGACTGAAGTTCAATTCCCAAGGCAAAACTAAAGCAATTCCAAATAAATCTTTAGTTTGCCCATTTCAGCAAACAAAAATCTAATGAAAAATTTTTTAATTTCAGATTAGTGGGTCAATTAGTAACACAGGTCATAGCGTAATATTTACCGTCGACAACGATACAAGGCATCATATCAACATAACAGGTGGCCCTTTGTCGTACAAATACCAATTTCATGAAATTCATGTACATTACGGTCTCCATGATCAATTTGGATCGGAACATTCCATAAATGGCTACGCTTTTCCAGCTGAGGTAAGTACTACCCAATCTATTAGTAAACTGTTAACATTCAACATCTGTCAACATGATCAATTCGATTTGTGTCCGACAAACAAAGGGCATAATAACTAACCGTTTGTGACCCTAATACGAGATCTCGTTCGCTAAAACTCGACCCATATGCAGCTCGTACTCGACATGCATTAATTAAATGCGGTTATCTGCAAGATTGCAATTGCGGCCGTAAGGCCACAAATATCAATTAAGGACGCGTGAACCCTCCCTATAACTCACATTACTGTTCCGCTCAACTATGAGCGTTTTCACAATCGATGAGTTCGAGTAGTTATAAATGCTTTTGATTTGTGTAAACATATGAAAATAGTTTCTCAAAAGAAATACGATATTACGAGACGTTGATAGAATTGTTTTACGTCCGACAATCGATAGGTCTATTATACTCGGCAACGATCCAACGTCAAAATTGCTCCGGGGGGCATTCTTCGTGCCCTATTCTTTTTCGATGCTCCGGGGCGAACTCATACAAATTCAATGGCCTATTCCACCCGAATCCGCACTGGACAAAATAGTCAGGGTCCACAAACACCGAATATACGTGCCGGACAGAGATGTGGATAAGGATGGAAAGAGGGCGAAAAAAGGAGGCAAAATGTTGTGTACGTTGCTGGGTGCATTTGTATCGCTGACGATAAGGTTTCAAAGAATTGCAATCTGTGCCGGGCCGGATGGAATCGCCAAAGTCCAATTTGCGCGCCGGCCCGATGTCGCCGGATTAATTTGCGAATGTCAACAGTCAAAGCACTAAATGAAGTGGGTTGGAGGTTGAAAACTAAAAAAATTTGGTCGGAAATTCGACGTAATGGACTGTGCTGACCTAAGCAATTCAGTTCCCAATTAGTGTTTGTTGGTATCATCTAAACCACTACATAACATGAATTTTCAAAATATAATTTTCCTGAATCTTCGGTATCGTTTCACCACATTAAACCATTTTCCGTTAAATTTCTGTCTCGTTCATTCCTTCTGACATATAAGAGCTATTAATTCTGAAAAGTGACGGGGTGAAATCCGTTTTCTGTTTCGGTTTAATTTAGTGTCTACCCCCTTAACACCGTCCGAGCGCTTTCGGTCTAAAAATCCACTTCAAGTATAAAATGTTTTAATTTTCAAGCGAAGTACCACTTAACCCCAACGTTTTCCTATTTACGCTTTTGCGCACTAACGCCCTATTTCACGCATTGACGCTTGGGAGTTTTTCAAAACTTCGAAGGAGGGAGTGCTATTAAAATTCATATTCATTTCCGCAAACCAGGTACGGCGAAAATGAAATGTCAAAACCTTCGTGGGTTTCAACCTTAGCAACGCGTGCCGCTAATTCCTCCGGTGGACTGTTATTTTCAAGTCGAATGCATCGTGAAATATTAGCTGCACATGCATTATTTATAAAAAAGAGATTAATGGTGGCTCCGCATGCGACTAAGCTACGTTTTTTGTTGCTATCTCCACCATTGTATATCAAGTTTGATAACGTTAGATCAAGGTATTTTTTGTTATCATGAAGTAAGCTTTTTAATGTTGATTAATTTGTATGTTATAAGCTTTTGATTAAAAAGAAAAGAGATAAGGGATGATTGAGGGTTGAAATCTCGTTAATTACTTGCAAAACCGTTGGTATTTGGAAGACATTTAATAGCTGTGCAGTACAACTCCACATTTAAACTTCAATTTGTCTTCCTCGACCGGAGAGACTCCCACAACTCCTTCGTCCGGAATGGCGGAGGCGCCGGGCGGAGAAGATGAAGGACGACGGGAGAGTCCGGAGCAGGGGTAATAAGCGGATTTAATAACGGAGCCGTCTTCCGAAAGTTTCTAATAACCGAATTAGGGGGAGCGACCGCAGTTTGTAATTGTCGCGAGTCGGAGATTTCCTAAATTCATAAAGATATCAATTGCCGTAATTACTTTCGGCAACGTCCCCGGGGATACCACCCAAACCCGACAGTTGGCATCATATAATTTCCGTGTGATCCCACAGCGAAGTTTCATCTTAGAACGTCTTAATTGGTTCTTCTTGGATTTTTGGTAGAAAATTGGATTTTCCTTAAAGTAGTTTTGTTGGTATATAAATGTGTAAACAGGGAACGAAGTTGCAACGCTGAGCAATACAATTCTCTCTGAAACATTCAATCTGAAACGACGCTACATCTACACAGCTGTCCGATTAAATTTAAACAGAATCGCCACAATGGCCTGCGTGATTATTGCGCCGTACGAGAGAGCGTGTGCGAGGACAGATAATCGTCTCGATTCAGTGCCCGTCACGGAAATCTATTAATCGCGGGCTATTAATCTGGAAATCTGGCCGAGACTGAACCGTACGAGCCGAACTCTCGAAATTTTCAAGCACAGGCCCGGCCCCAGTGGCGCTAACCCCGCTCACGGAGAGGCGATTAATTCTCGTAAGTGACGTTCGCGAAATCCGTTTCCTGTTTCGGTTTAATTTAGTGGGATCATCGCGTCGCCCGCCGAGCTGTACCCCACTTTCTGAACATCGTGGATGGATGGTGACTGTTTCATACGGTGCAAATTCGTTTCGCAGATGTGCAGCTTAATTCTTCAGTTTCTAGAATGATAAATTCATTTTCTATATATCTTTTTAAATTCTAATTTCGTTTATTCTGAATTAACATTCATATGCTAAATATCTAAATATCTGGAATTAATTCCTACCAAAACCACTCATCATTGTGGAGGTTCTAATGAACTGGCCTTGCGGTTTAGTTCCCTAGCAATGCCAGGCCTTTGCCGTGCCTATTTATCACCTTGACTATTCCAATCGGTTCCAAAACTTTATCGGTTAACGCAGCACCGTGCCAAAGTACTAACTCCTGTGGCCGATCCGAATCCGCGCACAATGGATTCAACCGGGCGAATATTTTGCAATGCGACCGCAGGACACAGTTGCGAGTATGTTCCTGTAGATTCCGGGGGAATTTCGACGAATGGACCTCACTCACCACGAATTGGTTAATTAAATTTCTATCTACTCACGTTTCTACGGTACAACTCGATAATTGGGTCTGAATTCGCCCTTTATTTATATATCGGAAAATTGACTCTGCGATTGACGACTTTTTTTTAGCGTGTTTTAAATGGATATTGCATTAGTCGCGATATGAGAGTTTCCGAACTATTTTGACGGATTGATGGTTTAAAATTAAACACAAAATTCTAAACGATACAGCGAAGTTCATTTAAATTTGTGGTAAATTCATGATTAATTCATAGTTGTACACGGTAAAACGAAACGACTCTACACCGCGGACAACAGACAAACTCTCAGAACTATGCCGCAAATCCCCGCAGGAGACGAGACGTAAAATCGCAAGTTTTCGGAATAAATTTCCCGAGTAATGGGGTGCAGGCCGGCGGCGTCGTCTAATTGCGCAGGTTAACATTCCGGGAGCGTCGCGCGGCGCGATTCAAACAACAAAGTATTTAACGGCGTAAACTTTAAGGTGCCTCAAATAACTCAGTCAGCAAGGTTCCCATGGTACCACTTCCCTTGAAACCAACCAACTTTAAAAACCTACATATCAACCTCAGCCCACTCAAACTCTAGCATAAATCTACCTCGATCGTTGGAACTAAGTTCACTCAAGAAAATTTTTATTTGAAATCAACAGTTTCGGGTTGTTTTCGAAGTAGCCAAGTTTGAATACCATAACCGAGAGTACCGATGAACTATAAGCTCTAACACTTTGAGAAGAAGATTGTAGTACCGAAATTTATCAATTCAATTAAGTCAGTGATCAACAAAAAGTATGCCAAAGCCCCATAACTAATTAAAGTAGAGTAAGTATCTTTAAACTAGATAGTTGTTATGCAGAGCTTCAAAATAAGCATATATTAGGTAAACTGATCTTCGAAAGTTCAAAACAAAATTCAACATATAACACGGACCTCAAATCAAGGAGGATGATGATCTACGAGTATTATCCTCTTTGCCTTCGGAGTTGCAAAATTAATACTTTAAAAATCCATGTTAATTGATTATACGACTCCATGAAGAGAGACAAAGAGGCCGAACAATGAAATGAAGTACAACATATGGATATGATTGAAGATCAAACGTCTTGAATCTTGGGCATCTTCATGATATATCCCAAAGTGCTACAGGACACCTCTTCACCAAGATGAAGTGATTATTAAAACTAGCCTTCTCTAATGATTGAGAATAAATCGAAAAATGAATTTTATCATCGGGTGAGATTCAAGCCCTACATTCTACCTGTAATGCCCACAGGAGATAATATTAGAGCGAAGGGTCTCTTAGATTTTTTACGTACAGCTCAGACATCGTACACAACAAATATTTCAGTACAAAAAAAACGCCACGATAAGGAAAATTTTGAGAACCACTGAATTAACAATAAATTAATTTTTGACATTGAATGTTCATTATCAGCAAACCATAATTCTATTCAGCTGTGGTTGATTACTAGTTAGCTTGTTGTCTAATGGAAATCGCCGATTGCAGATCAGGTCAAGATAAAACCAGCATGTCCATATAAGTCCGGATTCCAGAACGGAGGCGACACTAAATGATGGATGAGAAGCGAACGTAGCGCGCCTAATAATTGATATAACAGGCTCGGTTCCATGTCGTCCATATCCGGTAGATCGGGGTGGCGTTAATAAATACTTGGGGTAAACTTCGGAATCACCCTCTCCCTTCACACACCCCCGTTCTCCCTCTCCCTCCTTCTCTCTCTCTATCTTTCATTCCCAAGTCCTTTCTGACTCGATTTGCTATCACCATCCATCTTTATCACCAACGCATCTTCGTTGCACCGTAACTTAAACATCGAAAATCCATTTGGACGTTCCATTAAAACAGATGAATTTTAAAGGCGCTCGAACTCTTAAGAAGTTCTGCTTTTTTCGACAGAAAACAAGGCGACGAGAAGGGTCGTACGATCCATTCGCTCTTACCCGAAGGGAAATGCTAAATAAACACGGTTCCCATGCGAATGGAAAGTCGTAAAAGGGGCGTAAATCCTTCCTTCCTTTCAAACAAGTTCAACTACGGATCAAATAAATAGGATTATTATTGATTTGCATCGATGACGATTTAACAGTCAAGATCATTTCATCTTTTTTTTATTCACAAAAACTTTGCGGAAGAAACTCCGCTATGTTGGTTAATCCTTCCTTCGCGGCAAAAAATGGAACCAAGGGTTTCAGCACAACTTCTGACGGGGTCTAGAAAAACAGCTTAGTGGAAGTCTGGTGGGGTGCCGTACTCGTTAAACGCATCGACGAGACGTGTTCAAAAAACAAATCCTGTACAAGTTTACACGAACAACAATACCGCAGGTCCCAGTGACCGGAAAAGCCCGAAGGCGAGGGTTGTCGGGAACGGACTGTTTCAGGAAAGGGAGATAAGCTAAGTGAAACGCGCAGAACTTTGGTGGTACGTGAGGGACTTAATAATTCCCGTCGTTGCGGTCTGGTTCCGTTTCGAAGGGCGGACAAACTGGATGGGTGGGTGGTTGCCCGGAGCTTCGAAGATCGGCAGCTTAAACGTGGCGTAGGTTGACCGTTAGGGGTTGTAAGGATGAAGAATGATCGTGTAGTATTTGTTCGTGAGGGCAATAAGGTTAAAAGATGATGACGAGAATAAGAATTACCTTTAACCATATTACACACGAAATACACATGCTAAAAGAAGTCTTTATAGTTTGATTCGAAAAAAGTTTAAAGTGTGTTGAGCGCCATTCCAACCTTATCTTATTGAGTGTGTGGATTAAATTCCTTGAAAATTCTCACGCCATATTTCCCATCTGCGCATCGTCGACCATACAAAATCGAATCATGGAGCTTAAAAGCAATTGCAACATTTGACCTCCGATAGGGAGGAGTCGCGACGCCTGTAACTCGCTTTCAGCGTGCTCTCACATGAAGGGGTTTTACCACGCCAAATAAAATCAGAGGCGCCGGACGAAGCCATAAACACATGATTGCCGCGGATTCTGATCAAATCCAGGGCTTTCGTTTATCCCCTGGCTTCGTCTCCGCTTGTTTGTTCGAGCACAAGGCGAGAATTCTCTTAACGCTTATTCCACCCGTTCAATTCTTGTTTCAGATACAGATTTTCGGCTTCAACTCGCAATTGTATTCCAACTTTTCTGAAGCGCTACACAAAGCTCAAGGGATCGTTGTGATATCATTGCTTCTTCAGGTACGTATTTCAAACTTTATCTACGGTTCAGAAAATTATGTAATACCAAGTCTCCATACTCCAATATCGTATCAATTCGATTAATAATTCCATCAACCTTTTAACACATACGTGCCCAACACTCCTTATTCCAAAGAGAAATTTACATAATCAACCCTGCATCAATACCGTTCCAATTACCAGAACCCATTTTGCCACCTTTATCAAAGGTATAATACAGTAATCGAACATCAAAGGGTGATCACTAATTAAAATTACGCAATTAACTGCATAAGCGCGCCACCTAGCGCTTCTTTTTAACGCGTTCTCCGTTTCGCACAAATCCTCCAGAAGGGCACCCCCGCGGCTTCGTAATAGTCATTAAAACACACGTAATTACTGTCACCCTCTTAATTGGAATACAGTCGTGTTTCAACCAACCTATCCACAAGCTTGCTGGAACGCGTCGACTCATGTTCCCCGACAAAGAAAGCGGCTTCACAGAATCTTTATTTTCGTCTATATGCTTCAGTAATGATGAATAAAGCGATATAAAAGAAAATAAGTGAAAATAAAAGATAAATAAATGATTTAAGTTTATTAAAACTAAAATTATCTTTAAAACACCTTGAAACTTGAAAGCTTGTTCATATAAAGTAGTTTAGTAGTCTTGGGTTACACTGAACGTGGATGGGGTAATTTTCTTTAAAGGAAAGTTAGGGTAAACTCCCCTTCATGCATTAATGAGAGACAGTAATTGTAACCGATAAGAGGAGTATCTACGTGCGTAGGTTGCTACTTTCAGAGGAAGAGGAGGTTAATGAGGGCGCCGGTGAAAAAGAATAACCTTCGTGGCCTTCATAAATATGAAAACACTTTTTAAAAACACCCCGCGGCGTCCTCGGCACTCAGAATCACCGTAAATATGTATGCGCCAATTTGTAATCCGCTCCGGTCAAAAATCCCAACCTAAATTACGATCAACCTTCTCCCTCAACCCTCCGACGAAGAAGGTGGTGTCGCCTAAACTTACCTCTCCATCCCTCAGTGCAGCCGTTACTATGCAAATGACAATGTAGTTCAAGTTTTAAAGCGGTCTTTCAGCCGGTCGAGTAATCATGCAAATTTTTAATCCACGCTGAATTGGAAAGAGAAGCGAAAAAGTAGCAGAAGCAAGGGGCTCCGAAAAATGTTTAAAAAAACGGCTTAAATACAACGAGATTATAAATCAAATATGCTATCGTAGATATTACTCAAAGACCATCTAAATTATCGCATCCCTTTCAAATGGTTAATATTCCATTTGTGTACAATGAGAATACTATATAATATCAAAAGGATCATTTAGATTTGATTAAATCCACTCAAAGTTCTAAATATGAAAATAAAAATAATAAATCACCGTAACGCGTTAAATTGCACGCAGGAGTTTACGCTAAGTAACTCGCCAAGGTTTAATTTCAAGGCGTTTAACGCGGAAAGCAGATAAGGCCGCGATAAAAATCCCTAATAACAAGTCACGCTCGCCCAAGGGAACGAAAAACACATTCGATGGAGACGTCGGTGGAATATTAACAAGCAGTTTTATGACTGTTTCTTTAACGGTACTTGTTATACCAACCCTCTACCCGAAATTGACGCAATTCCGGAGGAAGGCCGAGAGATCGTATCGCGACACCTCCTTCTCCTATATTATCACTTCCGCCACGAAAAGATAAATCGTTCAAATTACACCTGCGTAATTATCTCGTAACGAAGAATATGAAATGTAATTTGTCACTTTTTTAACATTATCTATTGTTACAGCTTGGTGATTTATCAAACCCAGAATTGAGAATATTAACTGATCAATTAGATAAAATTAAATATGGAGGTAAATGAGTTAGAGTATGGATTTGTTCTGATTTAATTTGTAATATTTTTTTATTCAATTTCAAGGTGAAGAAATTGAAGTAAAGAGACTGTCCGTAAGAGGTTTATTACCGGATACTGACTATTATATGACTTACGACGGCTCGACGACGATGCCAGCGTGTCACGAAACCGTCACGTGGTTGATCCTCAACAAGCCCATTTACATAACCAAGCAACAGGTACGTAGTGCGCCTGGAATTTCACCCCTCTTCGCCACTGTTGCGCCCTTTAGAACCGTTCGCTTAAACTGTCGTATGACGTTATTTCCACCTCGATCGGCAATATTCCAAAGGGAAACGTTTGAAACTCTCGGAGGTTCTCTCATTTCGTTTTATTTTTGCGTAGGAAGACGTAAAATGGCTTCAAATCAACACTTACCTTTATTGTTATGATTTAATTACACTATTGTTATTATTTTTTCCTCATATTTTTTTTATTAATTTAATTTACATTCGATTATGTATCGTGGAATAAAAAATTGCAAGTGGTTGTTTTTAATATTTTTGTGGTTTTGTTTGCGTGTTGTAAAAAGTTATATAATAAGAGCAACTTGTTTAAGTGGTTACAGATTGGTGAAAGGAGTGTGTGTCAAACAATTAGAGGCTTATTAAATGTTATTTTAAATCTTATTGCTCCAGGGATACATTAATCCTAAGTCGGGATATATAATAACAGGTAATATCCAATTAGCAAATTACATCCTCCGACACGCCCATTCAATGTAGAACATCGCTTTAGATTAGTACAAACCCTCTTAGTTAATTGATCTGTCATCCTTTCTATACGTTAAAGTACTAGAATTGTACTAGCTAGGTAATTGTGTCAACCAAAAAGGTCATAAAAGTTGGATCAGGTTGTACAAAAATGTTAATTAACCTATTAGTTTTCATCTATCACCCTTTCTTTTTGTCATTGTGACATCTCGGGTTTAATTTAGTGACTACCCTGTGTTCTGTGTTATGTCAGACTTAAAATTAGGAACGAAACTGCTTAGCATCTGTTAAAATTGTTAGAATCACGCATTCATAACAAGCCATTCAACAAATCAAAATTAACAAGATTATCAAAGAGATACAGTGTATCTTCCATATTTTATTGAATCCCTAAATTTTCGTAAATATTACTATGAAGGCTTTTACGGCCGGCGTTAATTCATCTAAAATTAGAACTCACACTAGACCTAGAATTAGAACCCTTCGGGTTAAGCCGTGTGTCTTTTGAAAAAGTATTTAACTTTTCGGATGCCATGTTGCGTCCTTCTTCAGAGACAAGTTCGAAGTCACTTCGAACCCGAAAGTTTCTAGTTCTAGGTTTAGTGTTAGTTCTAGTGCTAGTACTGGTGTTAGTTCTAGTTTTAGTTTAACTGCGTAAATGGTTTTGGTATAAATTACTGTGGCAATGTTGATTAATGAATTGGGGCTAAAGGTTAAAGTGTGATTTAAAGCAAATGATTAAAGCAAACTGCCCGTTGCAACGGAATATACGCTTACTCTGAAAACCATTCAAAGTAGGACATGAAAAGTTGTTTTAGACGCGGACTGTATAAAAGAGTAAAGCTAGAAAGCGAGGAATCAGATCTTTTCGAAATCTGAGCAGAACCCAATTTGAAGCGGGATGTTCTTAAATGAAATGAGACTGTGAGGTATTCAGTAATAATGCAAGACTTCAACTTAAACCATATTCTACATATTGATTTTGTAGATTTTGAACCTAAATTCGAGGCTTTATTGTGTACACTAGCTATTTGTATAATAACAGTAGTGCAATATGAGAAGCTCAACTTAAACTTCGATTACAATCTAAATTCCATACTTTGCTTGCACATAGCGAAGACCGTTTATTTAGTTGCGACCAAGACATTATATCGATCAAATTTTATCTTTAAAGACTTTAATTGTACCGCCTCGGCCGCACGCGACCTCGGCTACAACCTAAGTTTGAAGCTTTACTGTGTACAAAAGCTATTTGTATGACAAGCTCGTACTAATGCTAATAGTACACTTATATTTTAAAGACGTATTAAATTTAAATTTGATACATACAGTAGGGCCCCGACTTTCGCGGTTTCAAATTACGCGGATTCGCGTATTCGCGTTTTAAATTTTGTTACCTTTTTCAACATTCACGACTCGCTTATTCGCGAATACATAGCAAGCTTTTTTTGTTTATTTAAAACGAAGGGTTTACTGTACAAGCAACCAGCTTCACACATGCAGATCTCTGGGAATCCCTCATTTATGATCGATTTTAATACGTTCGGTGCCGAACGACACCGTTAACCATGGTTTACATACGAGTTAATTCGTAGTCGGCAGCGGACGTGTTAATATTTGTGTTAGGTTAGGTGCTTATTTTTGTGTTCTGTATTTCATTCAAGTCAGTATTTCTCCTGATTTTTTTACACCATAATTTTTGCAAGTGAAGTTGATGGGGCAATAGACAGAGCTGTCCTTTCTGCACGATTGCTTCCGGGAGATGATTTTCAAACCATTGTAGCAGCTGATATCGAATCTCTCGTCAATGACCAACAGGAAGAGTTGTCCAGTGCAGACTTAGAAGCGCTACTAATAGAAAATGAATCAGAAACGGATGAAGAAGATATTAATTCCCCATGTAACAAATTAACGTTGAAGGAACTTAATTTATTTATACAAAAAAAAAATAATCTTGCTGAAAAGATAGTAGAACATGATCCACTAACGGAACGAAACACAAAATTTAAAAATGGCCTCAATTTTATTCTTTCTCCTTACAAAGAGCTTCAGAAAGATATGCAACATAAAGTGTTGCAACCTACTAACCTTTCATTTTTTTAACTATCATGTTCTAAAGCAGTTATTCTTGATGAGAAGAAATATTAATTGTTATTATAAAGATAATTTAAAATCATATACAGTTGTTCTTTTTTTTGTTAGTTAAGTTGGTTGCTGTTTATTATGTTATAATTATTTTAGTATGTTAGATCTGAATTCAAAATTATTGCGTAAACTTCAGTCGTTTAATTTTGAAATTTTAAGATGTGTATTATTTAATACCAATATAATTTTATTAATTTTTGAAATTATACCTAATTGAAATTTTTAATGTTGTTGCTATATTTACATTTTTAATAACCCAGAAATAGTTTATCCTTCATAACATCCAGTACTTCAATATTCGCGGAGTATTTTCAGAACCTAACCCTCGTGAATGTTGAGGCCTTACTGTATTTTATTTTGACTTCATCAAACATTTTTGTTTCATGAAATTTATGGGATGTTAAAGAATTATACCGCACTATTTTAAGGGTATGCTATCCATTAAAGCAGCAGAAAGACTGCGTTTTAATGTTTCTTTTTTGTATAGCGAAACAGGGCGAGTGCCAACTGTATCTATTTCGCGTTACCTTTGTACAGGATTTCTTGTCACGAGAATATAACAAGCGTAAATATTTCTGCTGGTGTAGTCTGTAATTTTCATAATGTGGAAGGAAACAAATTTGATGCCAAGTTAGTGATATTAGGTAGTGAAACAAAGGGCTTGAGTTTGATACGGTTTATAAATGTTTTATATACATGTTCATGTGATTAAGATAATAATTAACAATGGGTCCAATAGTAATAACTATCAATAGTAAGGTTGGATAGGTTTCTTAAATGCATATAACGCTCCGTTTAAAATTAATTATTTGAGATTATATCAATTTTTTTATCTTGAATTTCAAGTTCCACATTACTTACTCTCTTCATTTGCAAGATCGTATTTGAAACGAACTACACGCCGCAATAAGCGCTGGCTTTCCTGACTCAAATATAGAAATACATTTTGGATTAGATAATCTAATGTGACACGATATCGTTCAACCCTAAACCGAGTTGCACACACTTTGCGCCAGTGGCAGCCGAGATCTCTGATGCAATAACGTTTCAGAAAAGCATGAGCTTTTATGAACTTTAAAAACTCCCTTAAAATAGTGCCATGCAATCCTAAAACACAATATTTACAAATGTAATTTCAACTACCAATCGATTTTTGACGATTTATTTGATTCTTGAAAAATGTTGAACTTAACCTAAAGTTTGTATTTTAATATCCTATCATAAATATTTGATTTAGATAGGTGTTGTATTCTATTCATCCTATTTCGAAGTAACTTCTTGCATCCGCAATGTCCTCGTCGAAACAATATGGCTAAAATTACAGTAACAGGGTACAAAGCAAGATCTGAGACCCACATCAGGCGCGGTTTCGCGTTGTAAATTATATCCGTAATTACTTGAACCCCCCGGTTCCGCTACACACTAATGCGTATTTAATAGTTCGCGTCGTCGTGTTCCTTTTCACTACGCAAATTATTGTGTCTGGTTCGCTTGTACCCTCGTTGTCCCCAAACGTGTGGACGTTAAATGAAAACTTAACGACCTTGGTAACAGCACGCATATGGGTACTTTTGAAATTAATTCAAAAGAATAATAATTGGATTTGTTGTTACAAAGTAAAAGTAATGTGTTTGACATGTTCGATGGATGCTTATCCGGGTATATTTAATTTATTTTTTTGCGTGTAGTTATTTTTACGTAAAACCACGTACACATACAAACAAACGACTTCATTAAATTGCCGCACTTCATAACAGTGGAAGTTGTTTTAATTTTCTGTATACGACAGATCGGTTTTTCAGAGCGTATGGTTTTTACATGTAGCTTCGACCACGTTGACATGCATTGTCCCGGATGTCGAAAATAGATTTGGGTGCGAACAAAGCGGGCTTCAATTCGAAATTGAATATTTTACAAACGATTGGCAAAAACGGTCATCCTACCGCTCCCCCCTGAAAAACGATAAATAATGTAATCCCAATCAGGGGGCAATACATCGCACTGCGCCCGGTCAAGCATAATTTTGTCGGCGACTACCATTGTTGTGCAAATCGGCAACGATTTTGTCGATGCTCTCAAAAAAAAAAGTACGTTGCAATTTATTCCAAAAAAAATACGAATACACTACTCAATCGCTAAATTAAATTTCTGAGCATTCGTTATAAAGAGAGAAATTAAGGGTGGAACTGTCATGATGTTGACCAGACGGGTTGCTGCCGGTTGTCCGATTCGCCAAACGGAACTTTAAAATTACTCATCTGCCCGGAAGTAATCGTTCGCGAACTACAACAGAGAAGGGTTTCTATGCCGGAAATTAATTAAAATCGTCTATCTTTCAACAGTTACTTTGACCAGCCGGATATGATAATTGAAATTTTCATCTAATACGAATGAATTAAATATCTACTCTTCTATTTGCAATACCAAAATTTAATATCTATAAAGAAAACGCATTGTTAAAGATGAAACTAACGCTTTTAATTTTCTTGAAATTTCTCATTAATTTTAGAGTGAAATAAAACTTTAATATTAAACAATGTTAGGTAACTATTGGTAATATCTACCTTACAATTTTATTACACGTGTTGTTTATTGGACCCAGGTGTATCGATTCAGAAAGGGTTTAGTCCCAACCATCGTAAATCATATTTTGAGGAACAACTTGATTAACACGTCTACAGGGCCGAACAGCAGGACTGGCGCTATCTACCTCGACGATCGTTCGCCGCATTGGTTATTTTAATCGGGGAACGCTATTTCAGCGTTATCACAGTTTATCAACCAGCCGACAGCCTCTACTTAACGAGCCCAGAATCGCCCTCTCCACCCCCTATAACGGGAGGATGCCCTACATATATCGCAATTATGCAGGTGGTTTTTTCCGCGCTCTCAAATCCTACAAATTTATGGACGACGTAATGAACGGAGGAAGATACACTTTAATAGAACATGAACATAAAAATCGACTATATGTATATTAAACTTGAAGGTAATTATATAGGTCATTTGTAGCAGAAAATAATAAATATTTAAAACGAGAATTGGTAGAAATAACGAATGTAGTTGAAACAACACGATCGTTTCAAATATTTTATATATAAAATATATTTAATCCATTTTTAACAATTATTTGTTAATTTATAAAAAGGTCTATAAGGTACAGTTGCAAATCGCTTTGGCGTGCTTGTAGCACTTTCTTATTTTAATGACATTGCAACAATTGCATCTAAAATAAGTTTAATCAACACCTTGCGGAAAATGATAATCAATACTGGAAAGATATTATTCCCAGTCCCATTTGCTGCTTTATATTAATGTATAAGCACCATTTTTTATCGCTAGTACCAATTCGGTTAAGTAATAGTTGTTTATGTCCATAAGTGATGGCAAGCAAGTTGTTGTCACAACTGCTCATGATCCTCACTTCTAAACCTGCCAATCGAGCTAAATACTTCTCTAGCATTCTATTTCTTCTACTAGTTCCCTTGCCGTGACATCAACCTGAACTAAACGGCGAACACGAGAGCATTTGAAATAGAACTACTTGGTCTCTAGAACCCTTAATACTACTTGGTCTCAGATCATCTCTGAAGGAGGACTTAGGTTGTTCATCCGCAGAATTGGTTTATGGTTAGTCACTCAGATTACTGGAAGAACTTTTCATACGTACCGAACTTTGTAATTGTTAAAATCACTAGTATTAAACCTACCTTGTATTCAAATTTTTTTTTATCCAGGATTGGAGATGGCATACTAAGACTATATAATCTCAATTTAGGCCTCATCCACTCTCCATCCAATCTCAGAAATGCGATTCTTTTATCCGAAGCCTATATATAAAATGCCTCGAGAAACAAAATAAGATTTTTTAGTAAATTTAAAACAATGATTAACGCGGTATAAATTTGATCTGAGCAAAATTTATAATGTTAACGAAACATCAAATACAACTGTGCATTATCCTCCAAAATCGGCTCTATTCAAGAAAACAATTATGTACTAGTACAACTAGCAACTAGAAAGACGATTTTGTGGTCAGAATAGTGAATAAAATTGATGAGGGTTCAATTTTACAAAAGAATAGATGGCACAAAAGCAACCGGAAGCTTTTTTCTTAGCGATGAAGATGTTTTTCTGTTGATACTGTTATGTCTTCCCACTCCAGCTACCCTTGAGTTATCAAAAATTATCTTTTCAGTTGATTTCAGTTAATATAATGTTTTGTAATTAAAAATATGTCTATGTAAGTACTTTAAAAGTTTATTTCTATCCTTTTTGTAATTGTCACATTTTATTATCTATTTCTTCTTATTCTTCTTCCTTTGGCTCTACAACCCTTGGTGAGTTTTGGCCTCCTCAACAATTCTACCTCATTCCCGTCTACTCATAGTCACTCTCCACCAGTTTCTCACTCCCATCGCTCTCAAGTCTTCCTTCACGTCGTCCAACTATCTTTTACAAGGTCTTTTCTCTGTTGGTTTCCATTCTGTAAGGATTCGCTGAAATTTAACAAATCTGATTATCACCAACCAGGGCATTGAGTTCAACATTCATTCGAGTTCTCCATATTCCATCTTGTTTAGGTACTAATTGGTCCAAGGTACATTCGACATTGTGCCAAGGTACAACCCTGTATTGTACCTTGGATCAAATCACATTTTTTCTTTCGAAGAATTTTTTAATCATAAAATGAAGAATTTCGGGATTTCAACTATCAATTTTATCACCTAAAGCATTGCAGAATCAATTTAAACCAAGAGATTTGATTAATAACTGATAAATATTGAAACAACACCTTGCCGTACATACAACATATAGACACGGTTTAAGACTGTTTAAGGTGGTGTTTGCCGTAGAATATTCTCTCTAGCAGTAACGAACGGGTTCAGTATCTCGATTGAGTACTTCTAGAACACTGCTATAAATGAAATCACTTACATCTTCTTTTACATTCTGCGCTACCCCAAATAATGGAATGTACTCCGATTATGTATACTAGTTACTATTAATAAAAGTTTAAATCTATAAAAAACTATAAATCTCTAAAATTTCTTTTTATTATTGTAAATGAACATATTTTGTGAAAATCGGTATTATATAGAGCCATTAAAGCAGATTTTAAATAAAGCATATTCTGTAAAATATTTGCTCCGAGCGCCACAAATATTCACATACATAGGAAAAGACAAAATATAGTATTGTAGGGTCGATTATTTTGTAATACTAAAATAAAAATCCCTCTGACAACAATACCTAGTATTTAACGGTAACGTTCGAATATATACGTTTTTTATAAAACAAAATTCAATACCATCCTTTTGTTTTTGAACCGATTTTTTGCAATATGCTTTAAAATTTGTTTCACCGTTTCACATTTAGCCGAAATTAAATTCGACAGGATTCGTTTTAATTATGTTTATTAACACACAATTACCGCCCATTTCATTAAGTACGATTAGTGAACGGAGAGATTTACCATTTCCACGTCATATTTATTGTGAAATTGAATTCAGGGTTAAACGATTTCAATTGCCAATTTTAAATGTACCTCAAAAACAACGTAACATTTTTAGTTTCCGTCCATAAATCTATTTTCGATAATTTCCCTTCACAACGTCCGCCTTTTCCGCTTTTCCAGATGCACGCCCTTCGCAGACTGATGCAGGGGGATGCTAAACACCCCAAGGCACCCCTCGGGAACAACTTCAGACCGCCACAGCCCCTACATCATCGCCCCGTCAGGACAAATATTGACTTCAACGTCAAACAGCCCGGAGTGGTAAGTTTTCTTTTCGAATACTTTATGCGCCAAGCAGAAGCTCCTCTGACGACGACCGACGCTAAACACTGCGTAAACTTCCCAGGACGTTAAGCAAAATTTTCACGTTCGAAAATTTCTGGAAGGAAAGGAATCGAGATTTAGGTTCTTTTAAGTTATAACTTTTATAAACAAAAATTTTATTTGATTCTATAAAATGTAAAGTTTGTTAATACTGTTCAAAACAGAATTACGTTTTTAATACAAAAAAGAAACAAAAGTTATGATTTTGTCAACGATGAAATTTGCACCGTCGTGAACATGTAATAGATCACTACGCCATGGTTATTATCTTCACCAAATTGACCACTACAGCATATTACCGGAACAATTACAACTAATTAAATGTCAAATATCTAATTATCGTTTACTCGAGTTAATTGATTGAGTATAACAATGTTAAATCAACAAATATTAATCCCTAATTAAGTTTAAACATCATTAGTTAAGCCAATAAGTAAACAAAAAATACATCAATAATTGATACTTAAACCAGTAAAATAAGCCAAAACTTCCCAAGATCTCACTTTAATTAATTTAATCTGCATAAAGTTCACAAAGGCAGTCTACTTTATTAGTCGTATTATGAATACATTCGGGAAGAGCCCATATTTACGAAAGTAATTAACTCCCAATTCAGTACTCTTAAACAACTTATCTTCAGCGTTGCTATCGTTTACTTTCGCGACGAAACTCCTAGGTAATATTTTGATAAAGTTGGAATTAATTCGGGCTGCAGAAAGGCGAAGGTGCCGCCGCGCTCTAGAAACGCGCGTGAAATGCAAATTGTTTTAAATCTCTCGCCATTCGGTTCGGCTAATTGGAGCAGTTTCTCATGGCGTTTAATTCGAGCCTGTGCGGCTTCGCAGCCACGGAGACCGTCCGACGTGTTCATAATACTGTTTAGACACGCCGAGATTATCATAAATCCAACCCTCCCTTGAAATGCTTGCGACCCCAACTCAGCAACTAAACTATCTAGCAAAAAGGTGCACCTTCATCTAAATACTAAATGAATACAATTAACCAAGTGAAGAATTTTTTATTGTGTTCATAAAATATTTTAATTGCATCATTAAGAAAATTAATAAACGAGAATTCTTTTTTATTTTCGCGTAATTAAATCAAAACGTTCGCCCCTAAACAATCTTCCTCGTTGGTAACTAAAATTTTGGTGGCGTAGAGAGAGAATTTCGCTGTCAGCGAACCCAGAGTAAAGTCAATACTCAGAGTGCAGCACTAACTTATTAAATTAATTTACATATGCATACAGCTAACGTTACGGAGTACGACGACGAACGTCGAGACGTGTTCGTTAGCGTCCACACAATTATTGATAGTGGACGATGGACGAAACCCGGCGCCTCCACCATTACGCGTAGAAATTACGACCACGATTGCAACTCAAATGCAAGTAACAACCGACATGAAATCGTCATAAACAGGGATATGGCACTATCATCTATGATTAACAATGTAATATTAACACGAAATCTTAATCGCGATGCATAAAATGATTTTCAACGTTTATCTTAGGTATTTTGTGTAATTACATTTCATTTACTTTTTTTTCAGGCTGGCAAACAATGTCCAAGTATGTACAAAGACGTACATTATAAAGCAAACAGCTGGAAACAACACTAAGAAGATTAATCAATATAAAAAATGTGTAAATTATAAAAAATAGTGCTAAAAATGTCAATATCAAAAAGTTGTGACTATGTATATTTCGTACAGAATTAAGAAAAGAATCAAATGAGTGACATGAAAAGACAAATTAATTATTTATAATAGTGAAGTGTGAAGTATTAAGAGAAAAAAATTATAAATAATAGTGCAATTCCGGTCGAGGTTAAAAATAAGAAGAGGAAAACGTAAAGTATATTATAAATACAAAGAAACATATCATATTTTGCGGAAGATCCGGTGGATTGTAAAATGAAATTCGAGTTAATTGTATAGTCGACGTGTTGGGCTAATGTGATGACGCTTTAATTTAGGAATTAAAATCTAGAATTAAAATGAAATTTTGTTTAAAAAAAAAAGAAAATCGGACTCGAACGGAGTCGATTATAAGAAAATATAAGTGTTTAGAATGAAAGTTTTATAAACTCGCGGTGATGTTTGTTTTGTAAATGTTCCGATTTTAGTTTTTGTAAAAACATGAATATACTGATTTAGCGCAGTAATAACATTAAAAAAATTTGTCAAAAACCATTGAGGATCATTGAGGATTCTAAAACAAAAAAAAATCTAACTAAAAAGAACGCTTAGCATATTCATATCATTGTAAAATTGGACTATGCGTTATTTTCAAACAAAAAGGTAAACTAAACAAGAGTTAAAAATAAATAAATGAAAACCTACTGTGTTTAAAGTTCGATTTTATTTTATTACACCAACACTAAAACCAAATCATAAATAAAAGACTAAAAGAATGTTACCTAAAAATGAATGAGGTAAGTAGGTACAAAAAAAAGGTAAGTAAACGGATTTTTAATTATTTTTCTGTTGTTGTACATGAGAGAACAAAACAAACAGTTAAGTGCTTCTATTTTAGTTAATCCTCCGAAGTGGGATTCTTTAAAAGCTGCAATTGTGGTAGTAACGACAAATATAAATCAAAGTCAAGTAATTTTATACAAAACGTAACTAAATCTTGAAACACTTTAAGATGTATCAACTGAAACGTAATTCACATTATTTACCTTATTGAGGCACAAGTATGTTGCTAAGTTGGATTTATCATCCATATATTTTAGGAAATACTGAAATTAAGTAACCCACGCACTCCGTTACAGTAAACGGTTTAGATCATTATACGCAATCATTACCTTGAGTTGCCATAATAATAGCACTAAAGGATAAATAGTTATACACACAAGTTTCATTAGGCGATTCTTACCAACGCTAATAATTTTCTACCTATCATAGAAACTCTGGAAGTTTTCCCGAAGAAGTGTAAATAACGACCTCAAACTCAGAGATGTCGAAGAGGCAATTAATCACTACTCCACCGTATTCAAGGTCACGACAAATTTTTTACCACATCAAATTTAAGACCACCTTCAGCTTATCAACCGCTTAAAACACTCTATTCAGACAGCATTCAGAACATCCTACTCCAATACCTCCCTGTCAAGACATATTCAAAGAATTACTCCCACTCATTTGAATGCCATTCAAGATTTTGTGGCCTAAGAATAATGTGGAAAATTGTTTTTGCCAGAATTCTAATTATATTAAGTTAAGCTAAGTTATTCCACATATATATCAAAAGAATTTTGGTTTTATATTTGTTAAATTTTATAGTATCACTGGTAATTAATACGTATTGCCTATAAACGTGGCTTTATTAGTAAAAGAATCGGTTAAATTAATCGATTAATGGTAGTCATACTCATCAAATTCCAATCTTCTGGCATGAAGAGTAAGTTCATAGTGTTGATTATGGATAAAATCCTACACAACATGTGCCAAACTTTTACATGAGGGAATTCATAGGAAATACTATTCAACCCCTTAAACTCCTTCTTTAATTTATCTATCTTATTTTCTTTAATATCGTCTATTTTCCCTAATGGGGCAACTTTGTTACACATTTCTTCGTAATTTGTCATAGTTTCATGGTTATCATTTTTATTTTGGTGCAGTTTCTGCTAGTTTTCCATTCTGTTAACAATTCAAAATGCATCTAAAAGGTTTCTTTTGTTTAACATAGTAGAACAATATAGTTGAATATAGATTGGTTGAACCCAAGAAAAGTATCATCCGAATATACTTATAATTTACAGACACTTACACCCAATATATAATTAGTCAGCCGTTAAAGTTATTAAATCTTTGGTAAATTTCATTAAATTTCCACTCAGCAACGAAACAATAGGGTCGTTATGTATGAAATCAAGATTGGTGATCTAAACTTGTTGCGCAAAGACAATAATTCTCAACTTCGTTGAAATTGTGTTGAGGGCAATTTCATAATTAAAATTATATCATAACAAAAATAATAGTAAATCATAATGACATAAAGCGTGGAGTTCAAAGTTGTATTATTACGATAATAAACATGTAATTAGAAAATGTTTTAAAGAAAATAAAACAAATAATATGTTATCTTTTTATGAGAATTTATTTAACTTTTGGTAAATATAGTTTTCTCAAGGTTGTTCTTTTCAGTGATTTTTTTTCCGAGAAGTTTTAACCAAATTGAGGCTCGAAAATCAAAAAAGCGCAGAAAACGGTTCTTTCTTCATTGAATTAATAAAAATCAAATGAAAATAATATCAATCAATTTTATTTCATTGATTTCCAATTTCTCTATTGACTAATTCAATAATAATAAATTAAACTTATGATAAATTGATACGATAAACTTCGTCAAAGCAAACACTTATTAACGGATTTTAAATAAACAAAACATTTACTAATGATTATTTTTTCCTATATTTTATCTTTATCGATACTCGTGCGACGATTACAAAATATTGTAGTAATATACTATTTCCCTTGTTTTGTCAGTATATTTTCTGTATGTTTCAATCTGTAATGCAAAAGTTATTATTCTAAATTTACCAACACGTTATTGATCTAGTGGATTTTGGTGACTTTACTATGTTCTGGGTTAAATGGAACTTGACTTAGAAGTCAACGCGACCATATAGTTTGATGAGTAATGCTACTATTTTGCTTAGACAGTAAAATTCTCTAGAAATATGTAGTAGCAGGGATAGAACATAACCAAAACACCATAATATATAACTCAATCCTTCTATTCATATATACCCCCACGTCAGGCGGGGTCTCCTTTAACCATTGCCTTCACTCTTCACTAGTCTTCTTCCCTGCACTCGTGCTTTTTTTGGAAGTCTCCCTTCTTCCATTCGCACCATACATCCTACCCACCTTAGCATTTGTGTAATAATACCTTTCATACGCCTGTTTAAAGTCTATACAGCTGTTATATACTTCCATGTTATGTTTCCAGACTTAGCTAAGGATCTGTTTTACTATGAATATTTGGTCAATTGTACACTTGCCGCGTCTAAAACTGGCTGATTAATATGCGAGCACCTTGTATGTATGTCGTACAGCGAAGGGAGATTCCGCGTTAGTTCTTACAGGCAACTTTGTCATCTCTCATATATAACTCATCAGCACGTGAATGTGTTTTATTAAGTGGTTACCACCTAACTTGATGATGGTGATTGATGATATTTGTATTCTTGTTGCCGAGTTAATTCCCTCTCATGCATACTTTGGTGTCGGTCCGGCTGGCAATAGATTGTGACCAATTTGAGATTGTTACTAATAGATGTGACCAAAATGACCAAGATATAAAATTTCCTTTATTCAAACGTCATATTGACTTGGATTCAGTTCAAGATTGACTTCATGCAGTAAATTTTTAATTTAATTTATCAAATCATATACAATAAAATTTTTACTATCAATAAAAAATATACCTACAAAGGTAATTTAGTGGGTTCGATAATTCCAGACCCCAGCATTTTCTCTATTTGTTCATTCACCGCCAATTTTTGTAATTGCGGCTTAACCTACACGAGTGTTGTTGATTTTTGTAAATGAATTGCCTCTTTACAAACATTGGCGATCCTGACCATATCGAATTCCAAATTAAACACGTCGACATATTTTGAAAGCACTTTTTGTAACGACTTATTTTCGTATGTATTTATAAGTTCTGTGTTTAGTAAGTTGAGAATAGTGTCTGCTCGTGTGTGTACACTTAAATACACTCTCGTGGTGTGTATTTGCAGTTTATATTCTACTAACTTCGTCGTTTCGATTCGAAGGGGATGATACGTAGAATTCTGACCATTACCTCGTCGATAAAAGAGTTCTCTGTGATTGCAACCAATCTTTTCATTTCTACGAATTTTCCACAACTAACAAAATTATGACAAATTTCTTATTCATATTTATGTTTCCGAACAATATATGTTGTGTTACTTAATTTTATAACTTTAAAAGTTTTGTTGTGTTAAAACTTAATAAATAATACAATAAAATTGGGACCGTTCCACTATAATCTGGTGGTGTCACGATATCTCATAACTTCGAACATAGTAGAGAACATACCAACGTCGACATTGGGCGTCGCGCCGATTTAAATCACTTCCAGTCTGTTGATTGTTCCCTACCACTTTTAGGGTGGCATGTGAAACCTTCAAAACCTCACTGGAATGCACCCGATTCTCCCGATGAAAGCTGGTAATGTATTGTGTGCTGAAATGCGTTTCAAAGATGAATGATGGAAAAGGAAAGACGTGATGAATATAAATTTATAAAATTTTCTTAAAATGAAATATTTGTAGTTGTTTAAATAAACTTTCATCCGTTAGATATATAGGATTAGGAATCGTTTCTGCCAACACTAATAAATCCCACTTACAATTCTGCCGATTTTGTTAAGTGCTTTGCAAACTGTTCTGCCTTCGCGGTGAGCACACAACATTAACTTAATATTTGTAGAACGGTTCTCGATTCAAGTGGTGCCGAAGGTCCTTCCGATCTTGCTGAGCTGTTATTATGGCCGTAACGGCAATAATCGGTTCGCGGAAGGAAACCGCCTCGGGCAATAGGGGACCAATACACTAGTAACTAATGCATTCGCCCCCGGATTTATCGAATATTGATATGACTCGGTAGTACGGTGGTACGCAGTTCCGCATCCTACCGGAAACTAATTCCGACCTCAGACCAACGTTTAATTAATTTTCGTTTCCGTTCTAACCGAATTGGCTAAGCTACTTCAGCACAAACAGAACTTCATTATTACATTATAACATTTTAGTATAACCATAAAGAAAATTATTCTTGAGAGGAAATAATTTTTCTTCAAAAAACTCTTTTGTACCCGCACCGGATGAGGAAGTCCCATAAATCGTTGGATATGCAAAAAAGAAGTCCTAGGTCGGAGGTCGACGACGACGACGACGACAAACACGGCCGACAATGGTGGACGCAATTCCGGAAATATCCAAGGTAAGGTGCCTACGGGACGCTCCTACCGGATGTAAGTCGACGTTAAGCGTGAATTATGTCCCCGGGAATCGCCGAGACAGCGCAGCTTTGTCAGGATGTATAACAACTCCGTCTTTCCTGCCGACGACGCCGGTAATGAGAATTAGCGCTGCAAATGCGAATACGTCTTGATGTCGTTAAAGTTAGTTGTTCTCACCTTCGTTCGTCTCCAAATTTCTGTTTGACAACGGGAAATCCCGCGGGAAACGTAAAGGGTAGATTTTGTAATGGAGAGGAAGGGTTAAGCTTTAATTGCGACCGTCAAGTCGAAAAGCCGTTTCCCTCAAGTATCCCGTTTTCAAACCCACCG